TGAAAATAAGCCCTCCCTGAAAATATTTAAATGCAGAGCTGGAAAGCACGTGAAGCAAGAGGAGCCCCGTCTTGCTTCACGTGCCCCAAAATAATAAGACCTCCCCAAAAACAAGGCCAAGTGTTTATTTTGGGGTTCAAAAAATATAACACAGGGTCTTATTTTTGGGAAAACACGGGTATATATATCTTCATTGTGCTTTACAGCATTTTCTGGATGATTTACAGAGTCAGCATATTGCTCCCAATAATCCGAGTCCTCATTTAACCAACCTGAGAAGGATGGAAGGCTGAGTCAACCTTGAGCTCGTCAGGATCTTGGCAGCGGGCAGAGTCAGCCTGCAATACAGTATTCTAACCACTGTGCCACCATGGCTCCTTCCCAGCTCCTACAAGGGCTGGGGATAACAATAGAGTGGCAGGCTACTGTGCACCCTCCCTCCCCACAAAGGCCATTTTGCCTTTTCTTCTGCCAGAGAGGAAGAAATTGATGCAGAAATTGTTGACCACTTGGCATGGATTCTAACAACCAGATAGCTGCCTATGTCGATGGACAGTGGGTTTCCTATGGAGACTGATTCTCCTGTCTGGGTGAGACTCAAAGGACGGGATGGGTGGGGTTGAGGTGAATGGAAAGGGAGTCCTTGATCAGTAGCAGGAGAAAGGTCCTGTGTATGGAAGTGTGGATGTGGGTGGAGTGTGGAGGTGGCCACCTAATGGCGATGAGAGCTAATGACATGTCAACATGTCCGGATTCCCCTTCCTGGGATGGATGGAGTTCAGGACGATGAGAGGTTCTTGGCCTTGGGAATTGAAGAGGCTATATTGGGAGATAGTGCTACCTTTGAGGGGATGGGAATGGGCTGAAATATTATGATGGTGACAGATACAAGGAGATATGGTAGAAGACAGGGAGCAGGCCATTCTTGGGGAATACGGGACTGATGTCTTATATCAATTTCAAGTTCTAGCTCCTCAGTATCCAGCTCTCTTCTCAGTCAGCAGATCTTCAGAAGTCTAGTCTTTTGGCTGCTGCTTCTAATTGCCAGGTCAATCTGTAATAAGGCTTCTTTCAATTGTGATTTAATTGTTGATGAAAGAGCTAACCTGTCTGAACTCTTTGACTTCATTTCAAGGTTGGCAGTGGAGTTCCCCAGACTTACGGTCTTGGGGGACATCGAGTTGTCTTATTTCAAAGTGGACTCTGAGGACGCTTAGGAGTTCATGGTTCTATCCTGGATCCTCCAGAATCTAAAACCTTCCAACCTGACCTTGGAAGACAGGTTGAACATATGCCAAATGCTCCTCATGTTATATTGGCTTTGTGTTACATAATATAGTCCTGTCCCTTCATAATTCAACTTCTAAAATCAGATTTGTGTTACCATAAGAGATATATTTATCCATCAAAGCATAGATCTTCAAAGTCAGGCCATTTAAACTATATTTTGTAGCTTTTCCAGCTCTTACCACTTTTCTAACTGCCAGGAGGCAGTTTTATTGATGATCAATATAATGGAAAACACTGCGCAGAATACACACAGTGTAAAAATAGAGACATTTCCTTCCAAGGGTATATAGAAAAGTCACATCAAACCTTGGGGGTGGGGTGGGGTGATGTAATATAATACCTGCATTTCTATTTCTCTGAGTACTGAACAGAAGGTAGACTGTATATACTATACACCATTCTGATAGAATACTCTTCTGCACTTACCTCTTCTGCACGCTGCAATCACAGTATGAATGAAATAACTTGAAAAACATATTCTGTTTTTCACACTGAGTGCTTGTTTGTAACAGTTGTAAATTAAAGTTCTTTTGAAACACATCTTAGCAAACTATTCTTAAAATAAATTTAGTAGGAAAGAAAGGAACAGGATGACGTTGTGCTGCGACTACTGCTATCGAATTAACTGATCTACTGCAGTAATTGGAAACTCTTCCTAATAAATCCTCTCCATGTGCAATTTTGTCTTCAGGTTCTGTATGAGAAACACATTTGAGTAAAGAACCTCATTTGTTAAGCACATTCAGTGTCGCACCTTATTCTCTATATATGGCATAAAACTTGAGAAACTGGTGATATTAGCTGAGAATTAAGAAGGGGTTCTTTAACTTCAGTCTGATACTTGTTCCATGCAACCTAGTATCTTTGACCAGAATCAAGTGTCTCATGCACATTTTCATACCAATGAAGAGAAATGTTTAGCTAATAATTTTATAATCTATATAATCTGCAAGGGATTTGAGCAATGCAGCCTGTTAAGAAGCCAGAAACAAAAGGTTCAGCTAATAAGTGAGATGAGTACTGTGTTTCTTTAAGAAAAACTTTTTCTGCTCTCAGTAGTACTGATAGTTAACTTAAAATACAGTGCATTGTATCTCAAGGCATTGCCTTCCTTATTGATGCAGCAGTATTGTGCCTGTTCTGCAGTTTTGTGCAAACCGCTTTGTGGAATGAAATAGAAAAGCAACAAACACGTTTAATTTTCTTGAAAATGTAATGACAGTTGATTTAAAACATATTTAAAGTTCAGACCCATTCATCTGCTGACTTGGCTAATAAAATGAGACTGACTAATAGTGTAGTCCATGGGTATCCCAACCTTTTGGCTTGCCTCGGCCACATGCAGTCCATGGGCCATGGGTTGGATACGCCCAGTGTTGACCTAGACATTTTATCTCAGAAGTACAGTAAATCCCATTAAGTTGAAGTGTATATAAAGTAGCAGGTCCAATTCCCTGCTTAGAATAAAACCATAAAACAGTAAGAGAACCTGGAACAGAATTGAAGTGTCCCAGTAAATCACCCATTGCCTTCTACTGAGTAGGTAACAGTTGGAAAATGTTAATCTGCTAAATTGCTAAGCAACTACGTCCTGACCTTAATTCCTATTGGATCACTGTGAGTTTAACCAGTGAATTAAATGTTCTGCTTTAAAATGTGATAGAGATGATGTGATAGTTTTTATACAACTAGATCCTTTCCCCCCCCCCTTATTCATAAGAGGTCCAGTGCCCTATTTTGCTCATTCAGTGACTTTGAAACAGCATACATATAATAGTTTCTATCATTGTGGATTAAATTTTCAAAGAAAACTGATCCTAGTAACTGGAAATTGCACAAGTTACGGGATTGGGGATCCTGAATGAATGTTAGAAAAAAGCTTCTTAATATAAATAGCAGTTTGACAGCAAACCCCATTATCCAGAAAGTAGCAGGAAGTTTTTCTTCACTGGATGTGTACAAGAAGCTAGATAGCTACCTCTCTGGGATGTTTTGGATTCTTGCATTGATCAGAGAATTGAACTCAAGGATGTAAATTTAATAGCAGTAGCAATAGCACGTAGACTTATATGCCACTCCATAGTACTTTCCAGCATTCTCTGAATGGTTTACAAATGTCAACATTTTGCCCCCAGAAACCTGGGTCCTCATTTTACCAACCTTAGAAGGATGGAAGGCTGAGTCAACCTTGAGTCCCATCAGGGTCAGACTCCAATTGTGAGCAGAGTTTGCCTGCAATACTTCATTCTAACCACTGCGCCACCAGGATTATGGCTCCTTTCAAATCTATAATTCTGATTTTAGGATTCAAACTGCACACCCTAGTAGGCATTCTTGGTTCTCAAGGCTACTGCACTGTTTTGGAAACCAAGGAGATAGCAGGACTGACACCTGAAAGAACAAAGGCATTCTTCATACTAAAATTCCTCCTCAGGTTTGGAAATTTCTCAAGCAAGGCTGTCTTAAAGGACATCATTCATAAGTGTGAGTGCAAAGAGGAACATTAAAAAAAAACACCCCACAATAAGCAACATCACATTCTTTTCTTCTTCCTAACTATATTCTTTTTTCTTTTTCTGTTTTTCCTTTTTTTGCACTTTTTTCTTTTTATTCTTTTAGGTTTTTTTATTTTGTAGTTTTTAGCTTATTAATTACAATTGTAATTAATAATTAATCCCCAAACTACCCCAATGATGCCCTTGATGTGATGTCCCGCTGCCTGGAGGCCATGCGGGTCTGGATGGGGAGAAATAGGCTCAACCTTCCAAGACTGAGTGGCTGTGGCTGTGGCTCCCGGCATCCCGGTATAGTCAGCTGGTGCCATCGCTGACTATTGGGGGTGAATCTTTGCCCCCCACAGAGAGGGCCCGCAATCTGGACTCACGGCTATCTTTAGAAGAGCATATGACGGCCGTAGCCAGGGGGGCTTTTTATCAGGTTCGCCTGATCCGCCAGTTGCGTCCCTTTCTGGACCGGGACGCCTTGCGCACGGTCACTCACGCACTCGTCACCTCCCATCTAGACTATTGTAATGCTCTCTACATGGGGCTCCCCTTGAAGAGCACTTGGAGGCTCCAACTGGTCCAGAATGCGGCCACGCGGGTGGTTATGGGCTCGTTACGCCCATGTAACACCTCTCCTGCGCGAGCTGCACCAGCTCCCAGTGGTCTTCCAAGTGCAATTTAAGGTGTTGGTCACCACCTTTAAAGCGCTCCATGGCATAGGACCAGGATATCTACAGGACCGCCTTCTGCCACCAACAGCCTCCCACCGACCAGTTCGCTCCCACAGAGAGGGACTCCTCAGGGTACCGTTGGCCAAGTTATGTCGGCTGGTGACACCCAGGAGGAGAGCCTTCTCTGTCGGAGCTCCTGCCCTTTGGAATGAATTGCCCCCGGATATTCGTAATATCTCTGATCTCTGGGTCTTTCGCTGTGCCCTCAAGACCCTACTGTTCCAACAGATGGGGCTGTCTAACTGAATGATTTTAAATTGGGTTTTAATTTTGGTTTTAAAATTCGACCAAAACTATTTAATGATTTTAATTAATTTTAACTATGATATTGCATATTTATGTTTTAATTCTGGCTGTACACCACCTCAAGTCCTTCGGGAGAAGGGCGGTATATAAATAAAATTATTATTATGATTATTATTATGATTATTATTATGATTATTAATAATAATATGATTACTATAAAAATGAAAAGCTTCTGACTGTTCAGACCTTTGATCATCTGTGTACCGTAAATGTTTGATGAGTTTTCTAATAATAAATAAAGAATAGATGGTGCTTGGTCATATTGTGGCATCAAATTTTCTTCTCCAAAAGACGGGAGCTGATAGAACTTCTTGAACATTGTTTTTTGCATGCTGTGTTGTTTCTTTGGTGTACCTTCAAAATACATATTTCTGGAATCAGTCATTTTTCAGCAAGTGTTAATATGTCATTTTATTTTAGAGATACAAGAACTGCAACTTCACAAATTCAGACAATGCCTTCCCCATTTTTAAAAAAAACATTTGAACACAGTCAAGGCATCCTTCTTTCTTTCAAAACACAGGTGAGGCCTCCAAGACCTTCAAGTTTAACCTCATTATAATAGAGTGAGCAAACTTAACATATGTCTGACCGACCTCCAAATCAGAGAAGTTCAGTGCTGCAGAACTGCTTGTTTGTAAGCTCATTTTGTTTTCCGCAGGTCAGATTGGGGCCTGTGGGTGAAAAGTTTAGAGCTGCAGTTCAAGGAGGATTGCTGCATATGCCTGTCTGGCACGTGGACCTATAGCTTCATTAATGGAGCTGCCTCTGGGTGATCATATGGCTGTTGGAATTCTGCCTGGGACCAGCAAATTGGATGACCTCGTTCTGATTGTTTAGCAACCTGGCCATTCTCCAATTCATTCCTGGGCTTAATTCAAAGTGCCTTTAAGCCCTAAATCAGGGATGGACAATATTTTTGTATACTATAATAAAAAAAGAATTGAAGCAGCCACTAATAATGTGGGGGCACCACTATGAAGGACAGGAAAAAAACACTGGGTGCTTTTCTGTGGTTTGGGACTTGTTTTAAGATAAAATAGATGTATAAAATAGAATCAAAGCTTGACATTCCCGTTCTAAGCAGAATTGTTTGGAAAGTTCATTGCTGAAAATAAATTTGACACTGAATTTGGGAGCTGGGCAAGGGGCTTGCATGTAGTGAATTAATTGTGGGTTGCCTACCTCTTCATTAAAATATTGACATTCGGAATACTTTGACGTGCCTTCTCTGTTTTAAGCATCTCTGGGAACTTTGCTTCACTTCATATACCTTACTTGGGAGAGCAATCACTTTCCAGATGCTAACAAGGTATAGTGGTTAGGCACAAAGTTGGGTTTCTGTTATTTCAGTGTATTTGCTTTTGGGATTGAGATTGTTATTATCAATACTTTAATTATCATAAACGCTGCCTCAATGATAATTCATATTGGTGCAGTAGAAATGTTGGAGTAAATGAAAATACTATTTGTCTTGTTTAAAAGAAAAATTATGCTTGTTTATGATGGTAATAATGATTTGATTTGGTTCTAAATAAAAATAAGGGAGAGTTGCCATTTGGGTGGATAACAGGCAGTAGTGGGTTTCTATCAGTTTGCCCCAGTTTGGGCAAACCGGTAGTGGCGGTGGTGGGAGGTTCCGCCCACCCACCCGGATGTCATCACGGACGCTCTGCGCGTGCGCAGAAGGTTCTACGCATGTGCACTTCCGATTCTGAACTGGTAGCGAAGGTAAGTGGAACCCACTACTGATAACAGGATATAACTAATCTTGTTGCAGTACAAGATTTAACCATGGTTTGATTCATCGAAACAATATTAAATTTTGGAAAAACACATGGCCAAAGTATACAACATTCCCATTCTTCTCTCCATCGTATCAGTATGATGAGCGGCCTCCTCCCAGTTCCCCAACGTAATTTCATTGGGGGAGAGAGAGATCTGAGTAAGAGCCCTCTTGTGAGCTCAATTGTCTGTTGTTGAATTGAGTGAAGCAAGTTTTCATCAGGTGCCCTCAAGAACCATAAAAGGAAAATTAGATGCCTGCTATTATTGTTAAATTAAAGCCTGAAGAACATAGATACTTTGGCAGCTGAATGGGAACATGAATAATTCATCTCCCACAAACTCTGCCTCCCATGACTTTAGCTACTGAAATACAGGCGGATTTATTTCCTAAACCTTAGGGATTAAAGCTGTACAGACTCTGATCACCATATAGACTCAGCAGCTGCTATGATTGTGATTTAAGAGATTGAAGGATGAGCCCTCAATTGTCAAGTTAATAGTGGTAGTCAAAGAAGTTTGACAACAAGAGCAACCATTAAAGTTGGCTCACCTCTAGATGAGTCATGTGAAGAGGTGATTTAGCTGGTTGCACCAGGAAGTGTGGCAGGTTTGGGAAGGCAGCAACTGGAAAATTGTCTTGTAGATGTGCCAAGGAGCTCTTCCTGGGGGCCTAGAAGAGAAAAAACACATCGTTTTTAGCAAGACTTTGTCAGTGTAAAAAATAAGGTATTGACTCTGAGCCTTCATCTCAAGAAGCATAAATGCTTTAAGTATTATTCAGCAAAATGAAAATATGCTACCCAGAGTCACTTGTTCTGTGAGATAGGCAACCATATAAAATTTAAAAATAAATTTAAAAATTCTTATGAATTATGTGGAGTCACTTACATGAGAAGTTGGCTGTATCTTGATTGGCAATTGAGGATTTCAGAGAGAATTTCTCTCCCTGTTTCTGTGGGAGACTTTTTAAGGTTAGGAGTGGGGTACCTTGGCAGGCCAGCATGATTGGAAAGAAAAATAAAAAAAGTAAATTGAACTTTGTTCTTCTTTGCTATCTATCTAAGCACCTGTTAAGCAGTGTCTCTGTTGAATATTCTTCCTTCTTCCTCCTTCTTTGTTTGCTCATTGCCAGCTATTGATTTATAGTGAAGCCTTTATCCAGATGGTTTGCACAGGTGATAACACTTCTTTCACCTCTGTTCAAACAACAATTTGTATCACAGAAAGTGCTCTGTAGAAGAATTCAAAGAAACTATTTAATCCTAGGATGAGTCAGTTATTTTTTTTAAAAAAAAAACAATAGACTATTGAATACTCAGAAAAATTGCAGTTTGGAGTGATGGGTATCCACTTTGTATTTTTAATTGGAAATCTGAGATCCACAACTGAAATAGATACAATAAAGAGATTTTTCCCTTTCCCTCCCTTCCCTTCCCTGAAATGGAACTTTGTCTGAAGTGGTGTAGGGTTTCCTGCCTAAGCAGGGGGTTGGACTAGAAGACCTCCAAGGTCCCTTCCAACTCTGTTGTTCTGTTCCATTCTGTTCCGTTCTGTTAATTTTCTGTGTTTCCTAGGCGTATTCTATGAAAAAATAATTTCAATGAGATCATCTTAACTATAGCTGCCAGCTTTTAGACATTGCTCTTATATTCTTTTTTATAATAAATGCACATTAAACATTATAATTAAAAAGATAAAGACAAATATGAACAAAAATCTAAAAGAATAAAAAGTACAGAAAAGAAGGGGGAAAAAAGAAAGAACAATTGAAAGAAAAAAGATACAGATAGTCCTCGAACTTACAACACTTCATTTAATGACTATTTTAAGTTACAACGGCATTGAAAAAAGTGACATGACCATTTTTCATACTTACGACTGCTGCAGCATCCCCCATGGTCACATGATTTATATTTGGATGCTCGACAAGTGATTCACATTTATGACAGTTACAATGTCCCAGGGTCATGTGATCCCCTTTTGCGATCTTCTGACAAGCAAAGTCAATGGGGAAACCAGTTTCATTTAACAACTAAGTTACTAATTTAAGAACTGCGGTGATTCACTTAACAAATGTGGTGTGAAAAGTCATAAAACTCACTTAGCAATTTAACTGACTCTGAAAAGTCAAAAATTGTAAAAAGTCTTTCAGAGGGATGCAGCACTCTTGAAATTGCTAAGATATTGGGACATGATCACAGAACCATCAAACATTTTGTTGCAATAGTCAACAGGGTCGCAAGAAACGTGCTGAGAAAAAAAGACGTACCTTAACTGCCAAAGATTTGAGAAGAAGCTACCAGGAACCCATTATTCTCTAGCGCTGTCATATTTCAGAATTGCAACCTACCTGGAGTTCCCAGAAGTACAAGGTGTTCAGTGCTTAGAGCAGTGGTGAAATCTAAAATTTGTTACTACCGGTTCTGTGGGCGTGGCTTGGTGTGGGGGGGTAATGTGACTTGTTGGGCGTGGCCAATTTTTTTTTTTTTACTTTTAAATCCATTTTTTCTACAGAGGTTGTAAAAAAATGCTTTCAAAAGGCTCTGACGATCCCAGCTGAGTTGCCTGATCAGCAGAGACTTTTTTTTCTTTTAAATGCCTCTGACGATCAGGCAACTCAGCTTGGATCGTCAAGAGGCATTTAAAAGAAAAAAGGGTGTTTTTTTTCTTTTAAAAGCCTTTGACAATCCCAGCTGAGCCGCGCGATCATCAGAGGCTTTTTAAAAAAACTTTTAAAAGCATTTTTTCGGCCGAAGAGGTTGTAGAAAAACCTCTGGGCTGGCTTGACACCCCCCCCTTAGATATTTTTAGATATTTTAATTATAAATTGATTTTAGTTGGGGTGTTTTAAATTTTATATTGGGCCAAAACTTGTTTGATTCTTTTAAAATTAATCTTAAATTTTGCATGTGATGTTTTTATTCTTGGCTGTTCACCGCCCTGAGTCCAGTAGGAGAAGGGCGGTATAAAAATCTAATAAAATAAAATAATTAAATAGAAAAAATGCTTTTATAAGTAAAAAAAAAAAGCCTCTAATGATTGTGCGGCTCAGCTGGGCATGTGGGGGGGGGGCAGGGATTTTTGCTACCGGTTCTCCGAACCACCCGCCTCCATCACTACCGGATCGGGCGATCCAGTCCGAACCGGGAGCATTTCACCCCTAGATAGGTTTTAGTGTAAACAAAGCCATTGACAGAGAACTGGCAGCAGCCTAAGCTATTTTTAGGGAATTGCAAAAATAGAAGTCAAAATACATAGAGGGCAGTGAATTGGTGCCTTTCTTGAAAAGTCAATGAATCTGAAGAAAATAAGAACCAGCAAGAGAACTGAGTAAAGGAAGCAAAAGAAGAAGCTTAACATGTTCCGTATGAAGTCCCACACATCTTTAGCAAATTGTTTTTGGTTCTTACCTTGGCTAGGAGAAAGACTAATAACTACATAGAAACCAGGGGTGAAATGCTCCCGGTTCGGACCGGATCACCCGATCCGGTAGTGATGGAGGCAGGTGGTTCGGAGAACTGGTAGCAAAAATCCCTGCCCCCCCCAATACCCAGCTGAACCGCACAATCATCAGAGGCTTTTTTTTTTTTACTTTTAAAAGCATTTTTTCTACAACCTCTTTGGCCAAAAAAATGCTTTTAAAAGTAAAAAAAAATAAGCCTCTGATGATCGCGCGGCTCAGCTGGGATCGTCAGAGGCTTTTAAAAGCATTTTTTCTACAACCTCTTCAGAGGCTTTTTTCCTTTTAAATGCCTCTGACGATCCAAACTGAGTTGCCTGATCGTCAGAGGCATTTAAGAGAAAAAAAGCCTCTTTTTCTTTTAAATGCCTCTGACGATCCAAGCTGAGTTGCTTGATCGGAAGAGACTTTTTTCTTTTAAAAGCCTCTGACGATCCAAGCTGAGTTGCCTGATCAGAAGAGGCATTTAAAAGAAAAAAAGCCTCTGCCAATTAGGCAACTCAGGTGGGATCATCAGAGCCTTTTGAAAGCATTTTTTTACAACCTCTTCTCCGAAGAGCTTGTAGAAAAAATGGTTTTAAAAGTAAAAAAAAAAAAAAAAAGGCCACGCCCACCCAGTCACATTACCCACCCCACCCCACCCCACCCCACCAAGCCACACCCACAGAACCGGTAGTAACAAATTTTAGATTTCACCCCTGCCAAAATCAACTTACATCCACAATTTATGTGGCTAAGTGAGACATTTGTTAAGTGAGTTTTGCCCCATTTTACAACTTTTCTTGCCACATTTGTTAAGTGAATCACTGCAGTTGTTAAATTAGTAACACACGGTTGTTAATTGGTTTTCACATTGATTTTGCTCATCAGAAGGTTGCAAGAGGGAATCAAATGACTTTGGGACACTGCAACAGTCATAAATGTGAGTCAGTTGCCAAGTGTCTGAATGTAAATCATGTGACTGAGGGGATGCTGCAATGGTCATAAGTGTGAAAAATCATAAGTTACTTTTTTCAGTGCTGTTGTAACTTTGAATGGTCACTAAGTGAACTGTTGTAAGTCGAAGACTACCTGTATCTTCAAATAACAGATCTCCAAGATCTTTCTTAAATCTTAAAAGGCAATAGATTTGTAAAGGTGCTAATATTGTGATTAAATTATCAGAGTTGAAGTCTCTGAAATCCTTAGCATGCTTGGAAAGGGTATTGGCTAAGGGTGTCAAGAGGTGCTTAACGAAATGGGATGGTGCATCTGGGAAAACTATAAGGGAAAGGAAGTATAAGCCCAGAAGAAAAACTGGACCTAGAAGTGTGGATTGGCCCCAAAGAAAACATAGTGGACCATGACAGATAAACAGTGTGACAGAAAATCATTATTAGAATCACATTATTAGAATCACAAAGTCGATTGATTGATTATGTACCATGAAGTCATTATTGTCTCTCAGTGACAAGTTCATCTCCCTGATGATCTGTCCTGGAACCACTACAAGGGATGTCCAACAGGGAATAAAGGAAGAAAATTACACTCTAAGCGTCTATATCTTTTTTGTTTTCTATGATTGGGAATATTTAGATGGCTATTTTAATGGCACATTCAATTTCCCCTTCATTTTGCCATGTGCCATCAGTTTAGTAATGGACAGTTTACGGCTTCATCTTCCTTCGGTTTTTTGCATCAGGAACAAAAATGGCAGGTTAATATTAAGCTGCAAAAGATAATAAGCAGGAAGAATAAAAAAAGAACAACTCTTGGTTGGAAGAGAAGAGCTGAAAACTGTCACTTTGAATTTTAATGGCATATATTAGAACCAATTAGAAATTATCAGTTTCTGTGAGTTAATATAGAGCGACTTTTTCATTTTCAAAGAAGCTAAATATCTACACACACACCCCTTTTTTCTTCTTCTCCCAAATATTGTTTTCTTCTGTAAAGACTTGCTGGCACTTCTGCTGTCTTTGCAAATGCACTGAGATGGAAATTTAACACCAGGGTTGGCTAAGGACCTTGATAAAACTGTGGCAAGTACTTCCAGACAACTGGTTCACATATCTGTCACCAACCATCTTACAGACGAGTTGGTGATTCCTGAGGCTTCAATCAGTTCTGTTGTAAGCAAACTCGCACTAATGACCTGCCCATGCTTGGTGCTGCAGCAAATGCAAATGGGGTGTTACTCCTGTGAAGCAGCAGCAATACCCAAAAATACTCTTTTACATCATTTACGAGTAAGCAAACAAGAAAGGCATCAAGTTGCTGATCAACCCTGAAGTATGAGTGCTAGTTGTGAATTTCTCTGTATTAGGAAGATTACATTCCAAAGAACCAGCCTTTGAGTCCAACCCTTTTTCTTCTTACTGCACTTTATATCAATGTAACATTTTTTTAATATACTTTATTGGTTTTGTAATTAAAAAAGAATAACAACAGATCTCTACTAAGATCAGCAGTGCAGTGTTTGTACATATTTACAAGATATATAACAGATATACTACACACTTAAATTGCAAGTAATAAGCACAGTAATAACCATCATAATTTTATCCTATTATTTAACCATTCATACCACTTTCCCCATATTACTCGGTGTTTAAACTCCTCATCGTTGTTTAGCTCATTCGTTAGTTTTGACATTTCTGCGCATTCTAAAATTTTATTTATTAAAATTTCCTCTGGTGGTATGGTTTTTTCTTTCCAAAATTTCGCATAGACTAATCTGGCCGCTGTCGTAATATGTATAATAA